TGTTGAAGCCCTACCCCTCTATAGCTCAGAATGTGACTGTATTTGGGGACAGGGTCTTTAAAGAGGTGATTAAGTTAAAATGAGGTTGTTGGGGTGGGTTGTAATCCAATCTGACTGGTGTCTTTATAAAAAGAGGAGATTAGGACACACCGAGAAACACAGGAATGTGTGTGCTCAGAGGACACACAGAGAAGGAGGTCATTGCAAGCCAAGGAGAGAGGTCTCAGAAGAAACTGAACCCTACCTGCACCTTGGTCTTGAACTTTTAGCCTCCAGAACTGTGAGAAAATGAATTTCTGTTGTTTAAGCCCCACAGTCTGTGGTCCTTTGTTACGGCAGCCCTAGCAAACTACTAAACATCTAAATTAAATCCTTGCATGGATGAGGCTCTTTGGGTGTAACTCTTTAAGTACAGCTCCTCTTGACCTAGTACCTGTGAACTAAAGAGACAAGTGATCTTCACTCCACATACCCAAAATACAATGGTGGGACAGTCAAAGGAGCAGCATTATAGACATTATTGTTTATAAGAAGGGGGGAAATGAGAGGCACACAGGAATCATTGGTTGGTGGCAATTCTGAAAGTCAGCTGGGAAAATGTTGAAAGTTCCTAGATTAGGTAAATCCACAGAGCAGAAAGTAGATTAGTGGTTGCCAGGGGCAGGGGGAGGGAGAAATGGGAGTGATTGCCAACAGATACAGTGGTTCTTTCGGGGGTGATGAAAATGTTCTGGAATTGGACAGTGGTGATGGTTCACTAAATATGAATATGCCGAATATACTAAAACCAGTGAGTTGTGTACTTTAAAATGGTGAATTTTATGGTATGCAAATTATATCTCAGAAAAGGGGTGGGAGGCGACATGGAGACTCACTCCTGGGCAGAAGTAGGACTGAGTCCTAATTAAGGAACTTTCAACGTTTTCCCAGCTGGATTTCATGTAACAGGGGCAGGTGCAACTCAGCTCCATGGATTATTGCTGTAACAGACATTTATCATTTGGGGCAGCTCGGAATTCATGTACTTTTCCTATTTGGAGAGAATCTCAACATAGGTGGAAGGTGTATATTTGCTTCCAAATACAGAAGCTTCAGGAGGGGAAGACATGCCCTTGCCCAGCTCTTAGGCAGCTGAGCCCAGATGTATGACTAAGCTTGGTCACCTGTGACTTTGTATCCCTTATGTTATGTTCAAAGAATCAAAGGAATATTGAAATAACTCCAGTAGATGCAGCATCCTATGTCCTTTAGGAGAGGCGACAGGGCAATAATCTAGGGACCAGCACAGGTTAGCTCTTCCCCTAGACAACTCTCCTGTGGCATGATTACGGCTGTAGTTCTGATCGCTCAGTCTTCATTGCTTCTTACTTATTCTCCAAGCCTGTTCTTCAGCCTTCTACAAGTTATCTGATATCCTTCCTTTTGAGCTTGAATCAACCAGGGTTGACTTCTGTGGCTTGCAACCAAAATCCTTAACTAGAGTATTTGCCAGAGCTTCTGACTTTTCAAGAGATGCCCCCAAACTAGATATTTATGTAAATTCTTTTTTTTTTTTCCTTTTTGTCTTTTTTCGTGACCGGCAACGGATCGCAACCCT